GGATTCAAAGAGAGGGGAGATTTCGTCTAGGGAGAAGATGTTGGCTCGCTTAAGGCTTTGGAGTAGCCTAGAGAGTGTAATGTCTGTGACTCCCCAGTGCAACCACAGCGTTGTTTTGTATCGGTGTGCGAGCGGTATGAGCGTGTCTTGAACATGGCGACTGTGAGTGTTGATTTGTGTATCGAAGCCAACTATAAAGGACATTTTTACTTTGTTTAGGTGTTTTCGAACTCCTTGGAAGATGGGAGGGGCTTTCTTATCCGACCATGGCATTTGGCATCCCTCTTTGGAGAAGGGTTCGGTGCCTCTTAGCTCGCCGCCGTGTCGGAGGTTTGTGTATGTGATGCGCGTTGTTGTTTGGCAGGGCATATCCACTGCGAGAAGGGCGTTTTGTGTGAACTCGGCTCGGACTGCGGCTTGCAAGTTGAACACGTTGCACAGTCCTTGATCGATCAGCAGGTCGTTAGGAGTTGATTTTGCAAGTCTCGCCAGGTTCTTCACCGTCCGGACTATGGCCACTTCAAACTTTTCCAGGTAGCTGTTGGGGAAATCGATCAGGTACATGCGATATCTCAGTTTGGAAACGATGTCAGAGTTCACATAATTGATTGCCTCTTGCAGAGACATGGCGTTTGTTTGCCGGTTGTAGTACTCGATGCACGCGTCATTGAGTTTGATCAGCATAGCTTCATGCTGATGGTCTAAATTCAGGTGAGTGTTAATGTGGTAGCCCAAGTATTTGTAGGATTTCTTGCCATGGTAGGTAGGAATTGTGCCCCATGTGCATGATATAGATTCAGGTTCGTCTTTTGGTTCTTGGACTAAGTACTGGTATGCGCATTTTCCTGCGTTGAGTTCCATCCCGTAGTAGAGCAAAAAGCGCTGTAGCATTTCTAGTAGTTTGACAGCTTCCTCCCGTGAATTGCCAATGAGAGCCATGTCATCTGCGTAACCGTTAACCGGAATCTTAATCGAGAGTCTTGCTGGTGACAATGGGTGGCTTGTCATCTCGTAACCGAGGCCCTCTGCACGGCACCAGTGAAAGAACATGTTGAGTACGAGGCAGAATAGGGTTGGGCTAAGACAGTCTCCCTCATGGACGCCGTTTTCTTTTGCTTTCGGGGTCGACAAGCCTGTTGGGCCTTTTGCCACGCAGGTGAAGTTATTTTGGGTGTCCTTTACGAGGTCCAAAAACCCATGGTTTAGGCCTCTGGTGGACAGAGCGTCGTCAAAAGCTTGGTATGGAACGCTTGGGAAAGCTCCTTTGATATCTGTGAAGATCATGTGAAGGGGTTTCTGGTGCTGTTGAGCGTCTGCAATTATATCAAAAACTACTGCTGCTTTGTGCGCTGCGTGTACTCCTTTGCGATTTGCGCCTTGATTTGTGTCCGGGCCCGCCTTCTCATGGAGGATGTGTTGAAGTCTTCCATTCAGTGTGCCAGTGAGTATCTTGAACGAGCAGCTGAGAAGACTTATGCCTCTATAGTTGCCGTATTGCAGGGGGTCGCCTGCTTTGAAAATGAAGGTGAGCATTGCTGTTTTCATGGTATCAGGCATTTGTCTTTGATTTAGTAGGGTATTTGAAAAGCGCAGAAGGACGTCGTCTAGTTGGCTCTCCTTTAGCGTCTTTCCAACACACATGTATTTTAGTACGTCATATTGAATTCGGTCATCGCCAGGGGCTGAACGGCCAGTATGCTGGAGGAAGGAGCGCACTTCTTCAATGGACAACGGGGCCAGTAGAGATTCTTCCATGACCGAGATTTTCTCTCTAGTTTCTGACCATAGCTGGGGGGCGAGCCAAGGCGGTGTGCCTTTCTCTGTTGGTACGTGTGGCATCGTGTTTGGTCTAGTTGCAGTTGCTGAGCTTCCCCAATATTCATTTACAGCATGGCCAGTAATTAGTGTATCTGATTGTGAGGGGTGTTTCATGACACTTGGAAGGGAAGTAAAGACGTTTTTGTGTGCCAGGTGATAGGCTCTTCTCGTTTTTGAGTTTACTGGAGCACTGAAGACTTCGTCGGTGCGCTTCTTTCTTGCTTTTTTATTTGATTCGTGAAGGTCTTGGTCAAATTGTCTTTTCCACTTCCGGTGCAGGTCTCCAACCGTATTCCAGTGCCGTAGCCATTCCTGTGTGGTCCATTTTTCGAGATCTTGAGGCAAGAGTTCGGTGATCTCGGGGAGAGCCGACTGCAGGCGGGGTTCGTCTTGAAAGTCCTCGTATGTCTGTCGAGTTCTCTGTCTTTGGTTCTTTCCTAGACTCTTTATGTTCAAAGTCTTGCAGTCGTTTAGTGCGCTTAGAGTCACTTTATATCTCTTGAGCCAGGTCAGTACGTGTTGCGCAAAGCCTGCTTCTTTTGATTTGTATTTCTTTCGAGATTTTTTATGGGTTTGCTGAGTGAGTCTGGCTGGAATGTCAACAAAGAGGTTGATCAGGTGTTTGTGCAAGGCTAACATGGTTTCTTTGTCCACAGATGCAGTATTATCTTGGGCAGGCTGCTTGGGATTGGGAAGGAGAATGTCAGCAATTTGTTCCGGTAGGTTCTTTTTCCATTCTTCAACTGCTTCTTGTAGATTTTCAATTGTCTTTTCGGAAAGATTTGATAAGTCTATTCTAGGTGGGAGTTTGAACGGCTCAGTTGGGTACTCAATCCAACCTTCGCACAGTGAACTCAAGCTGATTTCATTGATTACTGCTCGATGGTCTGATAGTCCAATTCTAGTGTATGAGTGCCAGTCTAGGATCTGTGTTTTTTCGCAATGTTCAGTGGGGAACGTTGTGAAAATCTTGTCAAGGATGGATTGAAAACGGTGGTTGCTGGAAAGAAAGGTATAGTCTTCGTCTGCTTGTAGCCCCTCTTTAGCTATTGGATCGAAGATGAAGGTGCCGCTTGAGCGAAGGTCGTTTACTAATTTGCGCAGGTGGCGGCCTTTCGTGGGATCTGTGTCCGTGTTAGTGGGGGTGGGGGAGTTGGTGTCAGCTTCCCGCCGAAAGATATCGGTTGTAGGGTGTAGGTAGCTATTCCAGTCTCCGCCGAGTATCATGTGGTGATCTGCAGACTTTTCAGCTCGTTTTGCAGTGCCTCGTACGTGGTCAGTCAGCGTTTTCCAGAAAACTTCCTTGTCTTGTTCTTTTGCAGGCGCATATACTCCTAGTATCTCTATAGACAATAATTTATCCCCGCTTGTTGGAATGCGGAGGGTGCCCTGCAGCACTCGGGATTGGAACTCTGGAATATGAAGTTGGAGGGGTTCGAAAGGGAGGCCGTCCTTTATGGCAATGCAGACGCCCCATTCCCTGGCGTGACGAGGAAGGAGATGTGCACTGAAGGTTGGATCTACATAAGAGCTGAAGTGAAATGTGTAGCCTTGTAGTCGTTGCGTCGTTTGATTTTTGTGTTTTCCGACTGACCGTTGGGTTTCAGTTATGATGGCAACGTGTATGTTGTGTTGTTTTAGAAACTCTGGTAAGTACTGGATCTTGTTGTCTATGCCCCGGCAGTTGCAGTTTAAGATCCGCAAGTTGTCGTTTCTTTCTATATTGTTGGTTTCATGTGCGCCGACGGGTTTTGACGCTGTGTGATTTTCTTGTGGCGTTAGCACTGGTCCGGGATTTGGGTGAATGTCTCCACCTTTGAGCAGCAGAATGGCGAGAAGGTATGCTGATATGAAGTTTACGAAGTCGGATGCGCACGATAGTATTTGGTTGGTGAGGTGTCCCGCGCTTTGGGTCTGTGTGTCGCAGGGGCTTTGACAGCCGAACAGTCGGTCGGTAGTTCGTTTAAGCGTCAAGATGGATTTGAAGACGCTTAGTGTAATTATAGTGTCCAAGCCTAATATGGTTGTTCTGATAAGGGGGACTTTAGTGTACAGTCTATCGAGCACGGTGCATGTGTAGTCATTTGCGACTCGTTGTATTGGATCCAGTATTAGTACCAAGTTTAGGGATAGTAGGATGCGTATGCCGATGCTCATGTGGGTTATTCGTTGGTATAGGAGAAGTATGCTCATCGGGCCTAATCTGCAAGCCCACATGTATGTCGTCCACTCGTCGTGGTCTGTGAGGAGGAAGTAGTTTTTCAGGTGCATGTATGTCGCCGTTGCATGATCTATTGATGTCTGCAATGACTGCTCAATGCCTTTTATTATGAGTCGTTCCTGGCTGTTCAGTTTCACTTTGCGGCGATCTCGTTTTAGTCCTCTTCTATTGGCTAGTAATGACGTGAAGAGGCTCGGATGACACGCCTTATGAGGGTCGACATGCAGCATATACACGGCGCAGAGCATGGCAAGGAGCATGAGATGCCGGATTCGATTACGATTGCAGGTCATTGCTATATATTTGTTGTATGAGGCTCTAAGGGGTCGTCGTACTTTCCATTTAGACATGCCGATGTGCAGTGCAACAATTTGTTTTAGTGATAGCATATGTTTTTTGTTCGTTAGTTTGAGATGTAGGCAACCGGTGATGGGTGAAAATAGCAAGATGATGTGCACACTCATGCACAGGGCATCCCAAATCATTTGAGTTGCAGCGGAGTTCTCTGACACTATTTTCTGCTTTGAATCTAGCTTCTGTTTCCACAACGCTGCCTTTCTGGTTCCTGCCGTTGGGGTTCGACCCAGTTGCGGTCCGTCCCGGTTAAGCCTGGAGCAGAGAAAGGGGGGGTCAGTAATAGTGCTTCTGCTTCTGGCGGGAATCTGCCATGCTGTTAGTGGACGGATGTGGGTAAAAGCATTCCTCTGCGGTGAAGCTGATGTGGGTGTTTGGTGGTTTGTCTCGAGCTCTCTGGGGCTGCTAGCTAGAGGAGGGAGGAGTAATGTGTCTCTTGGGCGGGCCGAGAACGACCCTGGCAATGCAGTTGGTTGCAAGGCATCCATATTTGACTGGAGGACGCTCCCTAGCGACAACAACCTTGGCTCTCTGCTCCCTAGCAATAGCAACCTTGGTTCTCTACTTCCTGTCTCCGACATTAGTGTGCCTACCTGTCTCACCGTCTCTACTTGAATGTGAGGGATTGGTACGCCTTCATGTGCCTCGGCTTCTTCTCGGCTGGCCCCTCCTGCGCATTGGACAGATCGATACCCGTGTGAGCTGTGATTATTTCCCGGGAATCTTGCAGTAGCATGAGCGACAATCACATATCCAGCAGCACTTGACCTGCTGGCTGAGGCTTCTTGGGGATAAGAAGAGCAAACTATTTTGAAGCAGTATCCTGCCTGGGAGATCACCCTGAGTGTTGCGTCATGACCATCATTGCAAAACGAGTGCACGCCCGGTTGTCTTGAGGGCGGGCGACTTGGTGCTGGGGGGGGACCGTTTTTCTCTTGCATGAGGAGCAGTGAAGGGGGACTTACCGCGCCTTGGGCACCCTTGGCGGCTGCCCTGAGCGCGTCCTTCGCAGCCATGATGCTGCTGAGCAGGCGGGGGTTCTGCTTCACCACTGCATCGTAGGCCTTCTCCTGTGAGAGGTTTGGGATCAGGCTTCGGAGCACGTCGCTTTTCCACAGGTAGGCCAGCTCCACCGGTACAACCTTGCCGTAGCCCATCTCCAGGCCGCCAACCCAGAACTTGGCCGAGAGCTGAGGCTTGAAAATCTGCACCAAGAAGAAACGCCGGCCGCGGCCCACAGAAACGTAGTCGACCGTGGTCTCGGGGGGTGCGCCTGCCTGTAGCAGGGCCCGGAGGACATCCGCCGATTTGATGTGGCCCGGGAAGACTTTGCTCTCGATGATGAGCGCCATGGGGTCGTTGAAGATGGGGCCCAGCTCTGCGCGCGGCGGTTTGAGGACCCAGGTCTTGCCGTCGTCGAGTACCTGTGAAGAGGGGGGTGTTGTGATCATGAAGGTGCTGTTTTTCCTTGATGTAGGAGTTTGAGTATAAACGATCATGGACTGGCCGTCAGCACGTCTTTCTCTGTAGGAGAGAGATGAGTGTGCGTCGGTGCTGCTGGCTTCATTCGAAAGGCGGTTCCGGGCTTGTTTCGTTAAGGTGTACTTGACTTGTCTCTGTTTCTTCAGGCCAACTAATTGATCGGGTGAGCTAGCATAGAGGCAAAGACAAGGGATTCGACTGAGGGTATTTAAGGTCTGTATTGGTTCTTTGCTAGGTAGGTGGGCATCCCTTTGCAGGTTTCTAGTGCTAATTGCCATGGCGATTCTTACCGCGCTGATCTTCTCCTGATCGATCTTGAAGTACGTGTCTGCTTCCGAGATTGTGAGCTGCAGCTTGGGAGGGCCCCTCCGGTCGGTGAGCAGGATCAGCTGCGCCCCGCGGTCCTTGGTGCGCTCGCGGATCAGCTGCTGCAGGGCGGTGACGTTCGCCTCGGTGAGGGTCCCTCCGTTGATCGTCATGGTTGTCTTGTACCAAAAACACGTCCTCCTCGAACTTGTGCTGAGCTGGGCGGACGCTGTACTCCTTCTTGATGACGGCGGCGCCTGTAATTTGGGCCTGTGGGGAGGAAACAGTGAATTGATTTTCCTCTGTTAGTTGTCGATTCTGCTGGATGGATTGTGTCCGGCTTTCCCAAAGGCGCGTTCTGCTAATGTCGCTCTTGGAGGTTAGCAGAACGGAGGTTAGTACAACGAGGCGGATTGTCGCTGGTGTCTCCTGTTGGTGTTTTGGGAGACTTCTTTCTATCAAACTCTGTCCGTCTGCAACCTTTCCTCTGCAAATCACTCTTTGTCTTTCAAGATTTACAAACCTAACAACTCGTAGGACAGACGCAAGACGACGGTTTGCAATCATGTAGCAGATGTTGGTAGCGGCATAAGTACGGGCTTCTCCTGTGGAGCGCCTTTCTCTAAAATTCTGGACTGTCCAAAGACTATTGTTGAACAGCAATCTCACCGTGTAGTCCTCCCAGACGAGGCGAATGTTGCCCACGGACTGGCCCTCTGAGGCTGGTAGGTCCTCAGCGCTCACGAACCCCTTGACCTCCTCCAGCGGCGGAGTGGTCATGCGCTGGAAATCCTCCGCTGTGACGTCCTGCATGTAGGTGTAGCTCAGGATCATCGTCTCCTCTAGCCCCACCAGGTCGATGATGAAGTCTGGGGAGGGGGTCCGGCTGCTGCTGAGGGGCGGGGGGGCCGCTAGGGCTTGGGTCGGGGCCTCCGCATGGAACCGCGTCTCCCACGCCTTCACCGGGCTGTCCTTGTTGATGGTCTGGTCGATGTTTGATGCCAGTAGGGCCGCGCATAGGGGTTGGTCCTCGGGGTCGATCTCGGCAAGCGCGTCCTCAACGGCCACCCTGATGACGCCAATGTTGCTCATGACTTTTGCGGCCTTCTTGCCCGCGAGCTTGGGGTTGCAGGCGAAGATGTCCACCACCATCACCTTCTCCTTTGTGCCCGGGATGTCCGCGACGCTGTAGATGTGTCCAATCTGCAGAGAGACAAGAAGGAGACCATGCAAGTTATATTGGTTTCTCAGTTTCCGTTGTGGCTGTCTGGTTGAAGGTCGGGCGGAAATGGGAACTAGCTGAGGGCATCCCTCGCCGGACCCTTGGAGACTTCTCAAGTGACCCGAGTCATTGCAGCTGCGCGCATTACCATTGCCCTTGTGTGTGTTTCCAATTTTCTTAGACTTGTCTAATGGTAGCTCCCCCCCTTTACATGTACAGAGGAGAGAGGAGGCGCTAGCATTTAGGTGTCTGGTCTTTGTTACCTTTTCTATAAGATCTTCCAGTTTTGCAGACTGTTCTCGTTTCCAATCAGAATTGTCAGTTACGTTCCTTACGGATCTTACTTTTTCTGCCTCACAATAAGGCGGCTCCCTTCCAGTAAACCCAATTAAAAGGGACTTTCCAGTTTCCTTATCTGGGAAGGGCTTACGCCGGTTTGCCTCACAACCGGAAGGGTTTCTACCGGAAACCACTCTTTCAAATTTACAGGTTTGCTTATCAGGTAGGAATTTACTGTGGCTTCGAGCAAGCGGTTTTAAGCTGACTCTTACCCGGATTGTGCTCTTCAGGCTGGCGTCCAGTACACAGCCCCCGTAGGCGGAGCCGAGTGCGTCCATCATGGCCTCGATGGCGATCGTGGGGGCCAGCTTCTTTGCCATCTCGCGCAGGCGGTCGGATGCCTCTATGAGCTCGTCGACTGCGCAGGGGAGGGGATCCGGATTCTTGTAGGGGGGGCCTCCCGAGGGCAGCTCGGACTCGTCCTTGGCGTCCTGGAAGAGTTCCGCAAGTGTGGGGCCCTTCTGGTCGGTCTCCATGGCAGAGGGGAGCTCCTTTTTCCCCTTGAACGGGGAAAGGCCAGCTAAGCCCCCAGTAATAAGGTTTGTGACCCTGCAACAAGGAGGAGGGAGCCTGAGTGGCAAAGTACCGCCAGGGTGGTCGGTCTTTGAACCAGTAAACGCAGAGAGGGAAGGCGGACCTTTAGGAGACATTTCGGAAACCCTGTAGTCGCATCCGGCCGCCCGAGATTCTGCTTGGCCATTCGTTAACGAAAAGAACTTGGTCCATGCTGTTATCCTTAAGGTGGCAGACCCGTTAGACTTGTTGGCCGTTGACCAAATTACGCTAGGAGGGACTACGTTTAGCTTCAGGCTAAGAGTATCGCAGTAAGAGGTACTCAGAAACTGCTTCACTCTAGTAGCAAGGCCCCTGTTGTCGCATTTGGCCACCCTAGCATCTGGTTCGTCTTTAGTTGACAGACAGAGAGTGGTCCGTTCTGAAAACCTCAAGGTGACGGGCCCATCACTGTTGTCCGTTGTCCTAATTTTTCTGATGGGAACTAGGTTGAGCGTCAAAATTTGAGCATCGCGCAAAGAGGAAGGGGGTGTCTGTTTAACTGCAGCAATGAGGCCCCGGAAGTCACGGCTTACCCTGACATGTTTGCTGTCTCGTCGAAAGAGAGAGCTTTCTTGGAGGGGGCAGCGTCTTGACGGCGTTTCAAGTTGAGGAGGCTTTTCATCCGTGGTGACGGCTTCCCTGTGAGTAAGGGCCGAGATGAGGCACATGATGAGACTGTGGCTTAGGGGGCTGCCAGTGCCAGAACCCAGACACCGGATAACTGTGACTTTCTTTGTGAGCTCTGTGTTATGGCGAGCACCATTCCCTCCTTCCCTGTGTGTGAGGAACCAGCTGAAGTTTTGATTGCCTTTTGGCCGGGCCAATCTGTACTTACATTTTATCTGCAGGTGTTCCAGTGGATCGTGCAATTTGTGTTGCCCGACACCTGACATATTACTAAAGGAACAGTTGGGTCTTTTGCTGTCCCGGGGGTAAGCCTGGTGGGGGCCTCTAGCGTTGACATTGCTCAATTGCTCAATTGGGCTAATAGAGCAGTCCATTATGATACTGTCCGTATTCACAAAAATTGTCATATCTGCTGATCTAACCTGAGGAGGGGGAGCAGGCACAGCATCGAGGGGGAGTCTCTCTGTCGGCTGTTCTCTAATTTCAGTCCAAGCCCATACCACCAGATAACGTTCAAGTCCAGACTTTGCATATTCACTTTTACATCCATGGACGGCAGTGGAATCCTTCTGGATGTAGAGGTGGAACATCTTTATTTGGAGAACCTGGTTTTGGGCACGCACCTTTGAGAAAGAGGGGTTCTCAGCCAAGGCAGTGGTAGCGGTGGGGTCCTTCCGGTCCTTTCTTGCAATTCTTTCCTGCACTAGAGAGGCATGGCGGTCATGTCTGCATTCTGCAAGAAGAGAGACATTCAGGCTGTAGAGGCTTGGGGCAAAAATTGCTTGACCTTCCTGCCTGTCAAGCAGAGGTTGGGCAAACAGCAAGGACGGGGAAAGTTTCACAGCCATCAGCGTTTCTGTTGTAATCTGGTTAATCCATCCTGGGTGTTGGCATTTCCAGAGCAGAGAGTGTGCCGCACTTTTTATCTTCCAGCTGTTGGGTTGTTTCTGGGTGGTCGAGAAACACTCCCGCGAAAGCAGTATTGGTGAGAGAGTTGCTGGCATTTGCATGATTAGATTAAGCCGGCCAGGTATGTCTGCATACTTGGTCTGACATTCCGGGAAAGCAAATGCGGTCAGTATTACTTGACTTGTTGTCATTGCAGCATTCTTCAGGACTTTTGGGGACGTGTGTTGCACTGCAGGGTTTCCTGGGTTTTGACTTCTAGTAGCACCACTCTTCTTGGTCTTAGGTCTGCCCTGATGTCCAAGTTGTGAGCACTCTCGCCTACAGAAAAGTCTGACCTTCCTTATTTGTTGTGCTGTATCATAAAGCAGCTTCAGCCTCGGGTCTGGCAGCATGTTTTTGGGACTCATCATCTTGGACAGATTCCCTGGACTGATCCTAAATTCAGAATCATTACATTTGTGCAGACCAGTGGGGTTGTCTTTCCTGTCTCCTTCCTGCATTGTGGCTAGTCCATGAATCTGACATTGGGGGTCCTGGTTAATCCAAGCACCTAATTGAGTGAAATCTGGATTCTCTAGAGTGCAGCCTTTCATTACTTCTAACAAAACATAAAGACTAACCTTAGGAATCTCGGGGTGCCTGGATTGCCTTCAGGAGCTTCGGTGGCCGCTTGGGTGAGCTTCCTTGGAGACCTCAGGATTGTGTGATTTGATCTACAGTTGGGTAAAGCATAGGTCAGAGAGGGAGATTGGACCAGTAATGGAGGTGGCCAAGGGGGTTTCCAGGCCCTCTTGACTCTCTCTTGTAGCTGTCTTTGTTGTGCTTGCGTAAAACTCTTCTTACCAATGTGAAGCTTTACCAGTCTGATGCAGATTAAGTGTGCCTTGGTTCTCAAGCAGTTTGAGGTCTTTGCAGAGGGACACCTTCCTTTAGATTGTGAGCTTTGGTTTGATCTGCAGGGACACTGATTGGTGGGGGGACTTGGCAAGCCAGAGGTCTCCTCCTTTCCAATCACGGCAGAGAGCTCACATCTCTTAAGGTCGGGCTGCACTTCCTGCCATTTGAGAACATTAGCCTCGCATCCTGAACTGAGGTAGCTGGTAAGATTAGAGCAGCACAGCAGCAAATTACACGTCAGAGGTAGCCATGATAGGGCCAGCAGGAAGTACCTGAGGGGCCGGCAGGTTCAAATCGAGCGCCTTTTTGCTGTCGAGTCGATTCTGGGGTATATGTGTGAAGGATCTTTGGTTTTTTTTTTTTTTGTG